AGCCAGAAGCCCCGGAGGCACAGCACTGGGCCAGGTGGTACCAATGATTCGAAGGACGATCCATAGGCCGGAGTAGCCCTGGCTTTGGGGTTTAGGGTTTAGGGTTTAGGGTTTAGGGTGTAGGGTGTAGGGTGTAGGATTTAGGGTTTAGGGGTTTGCTCTTGTCAAAGTTTTGGGGTTTTTGTGGGGTTAGGGTTGAGGGTGTCGTGGCTTTTAGGTTTAGGCTGTGCTAGAGTTCTTTTGCTTTAAAGTTTCGGGGTTATCAGGGTTTAAGGGGTTTAGGGTTTGGGGTGTCGTGGGTTTCGGGCTTAGGGTGTAGGGGTTAGACAGGGTTTAGGGTGTCAAGGGCTTTTGTTTCTTCCGGGCTTCGGGGTATTTCCATTAAGGACTTGTGCACACAGGGCATTTGCTCAAAATCAATCCTTTCGATCTTGTATACAGGTCTGAGAAGTTCGATATTTGCGGCTAGCTGATAGTTCCCATATACATTCATATGAGAATGTGCTCCCGAAATCCCTACTCTAATTTGTCAGGCCCCTTTAATGTATAACACTCTATAGAACCTTCCAAAAGCTCTTATAAGACCCTGCACAAGCCGGGTTAAAACAGCCTCCACCCTGCATTGAATACCCGACTATAGAGGCTTAACGGATTTCTTGTATTTTTTCCTGGGGGTTCCTATTATTACTATTATTAATGTATTATGGATAGCAACCCTGTCCGAGTTGTTAAACCTTAACCCCTGAAGCCCCAAAAGCCCAAATGAAGACCGAAACCCTAAAGCCTAGACCCCTAAACCCTAAACCCTAAACCCTAAACCTTTAAACCCTGAGGCCCCAAAAGCTTAATGAAGGCCGCTGAAGTATGTTATCCTTGAAAGAGCGGCCCTCTGGCTCCCGCCTTTTGTGGGTTTAGGGTTTAGGGTTTAGGGGCCTTTTGTGGGCTTTATTGAGCCTCCGAGCCTATGGGCGTGTCAAAAGATACGGGCCCAGAGGTCTAGCGGCCTACACGCTGAACCCTCGGTTTCGGGTTTAGGAGTTTCGGTTTAGGGATCCCTAAACCCCAAACCCTAACCCTAAACCCTAACCCCAAACCCTAAACCGACGTTTCATTCGGCCTAGATGCTGAACTTCTGATTTAGGGTTCAGTGTTTAGGGTACCGGGCTAAGGCCTCTAATGCCAAACTCCGATGCGGGCTTGAGGATAGGGTTTAGGGTTTAGGGTCGAAAGTTGAGGGTTTAGGGTTGACGGTTTAGGGGGTAGGGTTTAGGGTTTAGGGTTGGGGGTTTAGGGTTTGGGGGTTGAGGGTTTAGGGTTTAGGGTTTAGGGTTGAGGATGAATCTTGAGCCCCCAACCCCAAAGCCAAAACGCTCTAACCCCAAACTGGCGTCTGAACTGAACCATCAGCAGTAACACTCCCTTAAAATTCCTATGGCTCATGCTAGAAATCCTGCATTACCCATAATAAGGAATTTGCCACAATTCCCATAGTTTAGGGTCCTTAAGGTTCTGCCGGGTTTATATCATCAACAGTATGTAGTTATGGTGCGTTCGTACTTGAGCCATCAGCGGCAAGTATTTGCATGCATTAACTAATCGGATTCGTCTGATTGCCTGAACAAGTGTATATAACTCTATTGTACCTCGGAATCCTCGTTTGATTGAACCCAAATTGTTTAGAGTCCGGGTGAATACAGTGCTGGCTGCTAGTTCAAACTTCAAATCCTGAGCTCTAAAATCAAAATCTCAAATCCTAAACCAAGCCCTGAACCCTAAACGCCGAAACCCTAAACCCAAAATCCTAAACCCTAAACCCTAAACAAACGGTAAGCCCCGAAGGCCCGCAGGGGTGTAGACTTGACCATAAGGCCAGACTGGAAAGCTCGTCAAACCGACCAGCACACTCGTGGCATCGGAGCCTAGAAAAGAAGAGGTGCATCATACTAAACCCTAAACCCTAAACCCTAAACCCTAAACCCTAAACCCTAAACCCTAAATCCTAAACCCTAAACCCTAAACCCTAAACCCTAAACTAGACTCCCAGACCATCGGGTCTAGGGTTCCCTTGGGGTTAGGGTTTAATGGGCCTGGGACTTTTGGGGGTTTAAGGTTTAAGATTGAGGTTTTAAGGAGTTCTACTTCCTGACCTCCCGGAAGGACAAAAAAGCAGATCCCTTCCTTATGGACCCGATACTATACTACTAAAGTGTACTTTACGGGCCCTCTTCAGGGATCTACTTTTTTGGATCCTCCCTCTTCGAATTTATAGGGGCTTGGGGTGTGGGGTTTTCAAGTTCAGGTCATGGTTTGCGATTTTGGGGTTATCGGTTTTAAGCTTTGTATGTATATGTGTGTGTATATATAAATAAACATGTGTGTATATACGCATGCACACAATTCGCAAAGCAGTAACGTGGATTTATGCTGCACATTGAGGAATAATATCAGGATCATGATGTTCCGACGTTCTAGCACTTACTACGGGGATTACAGCACTCGTATCTAGTCCTGTTAGGCACTCTACCTTTTAAGTTGGAGAATAGAAGCCTAAATAAATACCCATATGATTCCTTAGGGCTCCCTATTAAAGTCAGATGATAAAGGAGCCCAGAACCCTATTCGAGTGATTACAGCGTCTACAAACCCCTAAACCCTAAACCCTAAACCCTAAACCCCTAAACCCTAAACCCTAAACCCTAAACCCTAAACCTTGCCACCGACTTGCCCATAAAATTCAAGCATGCGTGAAGCCCGACAGTCGAAACTGCTAGTAGGCCCTAGGAATTTAGGGTTTAGGGTTTAGGGTTTAGGGTTTAGGGGGTTTAGGTATCATGATGAGTCTTTTCTTTCATGGACGCCTTTAAGCAGTTTGTTGGAACTGTTGTGTTTGTTGTTTGCTTGTGCCTTCGCTCGGCGGCTTTTCTAACTCGGACTGTCAGCTGTTTCGTAAACCCTAAGCCCTAAAACCCTAATCCCTAAACCCTTAACCCTAAACCCTAAACCCTAAACCCTTAACCCTAAGCCCTAAACCCTAAACCCTAAACTGGTTATGATCATGAGGCACAGCCACACCTGCGGTGCTCACACCTGAAACTCTAAACCCTAAACCGAGTTCGAATTTTAGGGACCTTCTCACGTGGTGTTTGAAGTTTTGGGTCGACCGCTTCATATCAGAGCCTGCAGTTAGGGTCTAGGGTTCAGGGTTTAATTAGGGTTTAGGGTGTTCTGGCATCTGGCAGGGTTCTTTTGCAAGCTTTTGAGATGTAAGGTTTAGGGTTTAGGGTTTTAGCACGTAGGGCCCGGATCTTTGCTTAGTCCGCCGCAAAGAATCGAGGAGGTTGCTGGAAATCGCGGTGCTTACCTGTCGTTGCATTCGATCGCTGCTAGTGTGAGTGCTGTTGCACTGTTTTGTTGCAGTCCCATCCACATGCTTAACGGTTTAGTGACTGGGGTTTGGAACGTGTAGGGTTTGGGTTTTCGCGGGCTCCACCATCTCCACTTATGTCATCGGGCTCAAAGTCTGCAGCTGATGCAGACCACTGTTTTAAGCCATGGTTTCGACGAAGCAGGAGCTGTTGCAAAAGTACGAGGGGACTTTTACACTCTCTTGTCAGAGGTGCTGCCGGGATTCAATCTTCACGCCGTGCAAGGCAGGCGACAGCAGATGTGCCAAGCAGCATACTCTAGGGAACGACTGGGATCTTGTTCTTGCATATGAGAAGCCTGTGGATGAGGAGCTGGTACCCCCTACCATCATCCGGCAACCCTGGAGTGCTTGTCATAACACTCTCTGCAAAAGCGGTTGCGGCAGGGACTGGTGCAAATATGCCCACAGCGAAGTGGAGCTCGACGTCTGGAATATCCTAGGAACCACTTTTGTTCAGATGGCCGACTTGGTTACAGAGCCACGGTTCCTCTTCGGGGAGGAAGACAATTTCAGCTGCCAGTTGTGCGACCTTGCTTATGAAACAGAGGCACAGTTCTGGAATCACGTCCACTCGGAAGAGCACATGACTTGCATGCACTCTCCGACGCGAGATTGGGCCTGCAAAACCCGACGGCCTCCGGAGGAATACGCTCTGGGACTATGCTATTATTTTCCCCATGGTCGTTGCTACCGTGGGCGCAATTGCGCATACGCCCATTCAGAAGAGGAGTGGCGTGAATGGCGAGGTTGGGATGCCAGGAAGCGAAACCGTTGCTCGTCCTCTTATACTCTCTCCGTGCCATCGTGCACAGACAGAACCCTGCACCCCTAAACCCTAAACCCTAAACCCTAAACCCTAAACCCTAAACCCTGAACCCTGAACCCTGTACCCCTAAACCCTAAACCTCTAAAGCACAACCCACAATTCTTATCAAGCTCTGCGTCCGCAGGTAGAGAGCCTCTATGTTCTTCCTGAGGGGTAGGGGTTTAGGGTTTAGGGTTTAGGGTTTAGGGTTCTTGGAGGATCATGAGACTTAGTAAGTAAAGCTATAAGTCCCCTAATTGGGGTTATAAAGTATAGTTACCTTAGTTATAACCCTACTTACTAAGTCCCATGATCCTTTAAGTTGGTGAACAATGCTACAAAGATACTCCAAAACCCTATTCTAATTGCTTAACCCCTACACCAAACCCTTTTGTAACTCGTAGTAAAGAGAACCCTTTATCTATGGGAGCCCTTAAAAGGGTCCCTACCATTCTGGGTTTCGCGGTTTTAAAGGTTTAGGAAGTTTAGGGGTTCAGCTTACTTGCCCGTGAGACAAAAGCTCCAAAACTGATCTTTTGATGCTCACTCCCTCTACTATACTTGAAGGACCATTGGACATAGTAACTTAAAGGGTTCCTTAGAGGGTTCCTTAGAGGGTTCCTTAGAGGGTTCCTTAGAGGGTTCCTTTGAGGGTTCCTTGAAGGGTTCCTTGAAGGGGTCCTTGAAGGGTTCTAGAAGGATCAATATCGGCTTAAGGTTTAGCATAATACAAGGGTTAGGATAATCGGTAATGTTATAAGTGCGTTTCTTCAAAGGGTTCTTATTGGAAGGGTGCAGTATAGGGGTCTGAATAGTTCACTAGCAGTGTTATAGTATCCCCTTATAGTCCCCGGTATACATGAATCTAACCATACAAATTCTACGCCCAAACCTTGTTTTATAATTGAGGCCTCCACAGTACTGGAAGGCCTATGGATGGTTAGAAGTTAGGGTTTATTGTAGTGACGACTGTGTAGGTATTGTAAGCTCGCGTAGGGCTTGACTGCCTGTCGACCTTACTTATGAGTACCGACTACGCATGAGCCTAACTTGATCTAAGTTGAGCACCTTGTCCTCATGAATGGGCTGCAGCCTTGGGCGCGACAGCTACGATCAACCTGGTCTGCGGTGTCTTGCCTGTTCTTCGACCCTTCATGTAGATGTTCAGGGCTTTGTAGGGCTTCATTCCCCAAGCAATGTGGGGGACGCAATGGGATTCTTACGCTCAGAGAAGTGGAGAGACCCACTCTCTGTTCCGTGAGGGCCTTCAAGCCAACACAGCCTCGCCCTGAGGTGCAGTTCGTATGGGCATGTTATTTCGAGGAGTGTCCTCGTGGCACTAGGAAGAAATCGCTGTGCATCCAGGGCAAGCTCAGGTCAGTTAAACGAGAATGCAAAAACCGGCGGCTAGCACTGGGCCCATATCATAGCCTGGGCAACGAACTTGCCGAAGTTGGCAATCGTCATCCTCTTCCGCTCGTCTTCTGCCTCTTCGGTTTTGGGTTTGAAGCGTGCTTCTGCCGCAGTCCTGCCCACATTTCTTGTGGCGTGGTCTTGGGAGCGTTACTCCACTTACTCCACAAGCCCTCCGACCCCTGAATCCGAACGGTTAAAGCGCTCTCAAGGGAACCCCCTAAACCCAAAACCCTAAGCCCTAAAACCCTAAACCCTAAACCTGAAGCCCGTGTGAACACCTAAGGCGCAGCCGTGGAGCAAGGACCTTGGCATCGAGGAGCCAAGGCTTGAATTCACCCTAAACCCTAAACCGAATTCTAAGGTTGAACCCATGGGCCCCTAACATGGGCCCTTACAAAATTCTAGGGTCCCTTAAGGGTATAT